TAATTATCTTATCTTAATTTATACATAATTAAATTTATTTCAAAAAACATTTAAAAAGTTAACAATTTTTATGACCGCAGCCTTAGCTATCTGGTCCTACAAAAGTATTTAACTAAGTGAATATCAAATGAGAAAAAAAAACAATATAAGTATATTTCAAAATTTTGCAAATACAATTCAATTAATACGAGTAAAAACATTAAAGATATTACAATTCTTAGAATTCTTCTTGTAAATTTATTTTTGTAATTTTTTTAAAACAATTTTTAAAGCATTTTTTAATTACTTAAGTAACCCATTTACTTCTTTTTTAAAACTACCAATATTTTCAATTGCTTTTAGATTTTGTGGCAAATTGTTATATAAATTTAAGCAGTTATACAAACAATTTTTTTTTTGGCTATTTGTTTTGAAAAGCGAAAGGTAAAAATTTGATTTGTTTCTCGTATTATGGCTATGAATATCGATATTTCTATTAAGAATAAAATTATGTTTAATTAAATTGTGCACTATTTTAAATGCGATCATATACAACTCACGTATACAAATATTTTCAAAACTTATGTATGGGCCTGTATATAAATTATTTGTAGGGTATCTAATTGGGTAGTAATGGATATATTTTATTGCCTTCTTATTCAAAATATCTAATTTGCTTAATAAGGAACTGCCAGCATTTCCCCACAAGGGATTCAAATATGTTAAATGGGACATAATATATGCCGAATATATTATATACAAAGTATGAGTGTCAAACACTTTTCTAAGACATCGTAATATATATATATATGGTGTAATTTTTTCCGCAATGTAATTAATATGTTGGTCATACCTGAGTCTAGAATCTAGAATAAGTCCTAAGTATTTGAAATGTTCGACCACCTCAATGGGTAAGCCCCCAAAAAAGAAAGTCCTATGTACGTATTGTTTATTTTCAAAAAGCAATATTTTCGTCTTTTTTATATTTAATGAGAGACTTATTTAATAATTTATTTAATTTTTGGTCTTACAATTAATTTGATTTGAGCCATAGTTTTCGAAACATTGCTCGTCAAAGTCAGATTCCAGATAGATACCTAATTAACTTTTATATTATAAAACCAAATTTCAGAATATTCCAAATAGCATCATGGGATTAATTTGTCATACAGTTTTCATATACAATACAATATGATTAATCACAAAAGTCTAAAATAATAACGTCAGAGTTAGAAAAAAATCTAGAAACAATAATATTTATTCATCATTAGTTGAAGAAATATTAAAATCCGTATATGGGTGTGTTATATGGTTATTATATGGGTGTTTGTTATGACGAAAACAATTTACATGTGTATAAAATAAAAAGTTTAAGAAGCAATCGATCACATACATAATAACGTATACTGTATATGCGAATGGATCGTTTATTTTGAAAGTGACCCATGTAAGTATATTTGGAATTTCAAAACTCTTCTATTTTTTCAGACATATACTCGTATGATTATTTAAATAGTTGGAATTTAGAACTATTTAACCAACGGATAACAAAGTTTTTGTTTGCCCTTAAGTTTAAGCATTGCAATATTTCATTTGCAATAAAAAGTCAACTTAGATCACTTTCAAAATGAACGATTTAATTATATTATAAGATAAATAATATGCAAGTATGTTAGATAATATATTCACTTATATATGCTTAAATGAATAATATTAAATTAATTATATATACATATATACATATATGTATGCACTTATAAGATTATAAAATTTGTCATCGAAGACGTCACAAGAATTTAATCACGACATTTAAAAGTTATACAATCAACATAAAACGTGTGAGTTAATTGAATTGATTATTCATTCATTGTAAAAAACGAAAAAAGGTATGTTTTTTGTTTATAAAAATGAAGTCATTACTGACTAACAACTACTTAAGATCGCAAAAAAAAAGCTTTTGAAAAATCTTACATCTGATTTAAGTTGTCATTTTTTATTTGTAGTTGTTTAGTGTTATTCATTAAAATAAAAATCAAAAAAAAAAGAATTATAAAATATAGGTAATTGCAAAAATACAGTACCTATATAAAGTTTCAATATAGTTCTTGAATACTGTTTTATTTTATGGCAACACTTCTTCCGCTCCATTTAACTGCGGTCGCTGAATTGAAGTCAAACTATTCTTACTGTATTTTGGAAGTCGCTGAATGTACTATAATGACGAAAAGCTCCACCGATCATAAGTTGTTTGAATTCTCCCTAAAAGACACTTGTTGTAACAAAAAATAGCGAAACAACGTTCCTCGAAAAAACTAATGAATAAAAACCACGTTTACAATAGTCCTAGGAGAGAGTAACGTCTCCAAACCTAACAATAATACAACAATAATATGGGTCAGTAAACTTCTTAGCCCTCCTCTAACGAAAACTGATTTAGATCAAACTGACCCCAACAGAACAGGCGAGAGCGAAAATGTAACCAAAGAAACCTTCCCACAATCAACACAATACCAATTAACCCTAGAAATCTCCCTTACGTTAACGTAAGTCTCAGTTACGTTAATTTGACGTTCGTCAAAAATAACTTTTCGTAATGATTTTGACGCGTTAATCATAATTTTATAATCTGTTGCTAATGCAAAAATCAATGCAATATCGCAACTTTATTTTTTACTGCAAGATGTCTAAATATTTCATATTGCTAAAAATTTTTGTGTTTACAAGATGTCTGAAACGAAATCAAGGTATTTAATTAATTATATATTAATTAACTAAAGTTTTTATTAAAAAAAATATATTGTTTTATAATAAATTTTTGTGGCGAAAATCAGGTGTGTGGTGTCAAACAACTAAAACAGTGTCATTTTAATTTTCATAATGCTTAATAATATATGCAAATAATTGCAACATTCGACGATTGTGACATTGCAATCACAAATTTGCCCTCGATTTATAATCTTGAAGAATTTAATAAATTTAAGAATATTTCTGAACACAATATTTTTTTGCCGTCAGAAATTTTCGAAGTGTTTAAAAGTACATTGTATGCAATAATTTTGCGCTAAAATATTATTTATCAAAATCAAATTTTAAAATAGAAAAAAATTATTTAAAATAACAACTTCAACACTTCTAAGAAAATAATCTTGAAATTCTAACCAAATTACATTGAATTAAACAATCATTTGATTTTGAATTGACATTTACGAATACATTTAGAAAGCATTCAATTTACAGTTTTGTTTATTGGTAACAGTGGCAGATTAAGTGCAAATTTCTTTAAATGAGTTCAGCCTTACTCTTCTTCTTCAATATTCTAAAAACCTATTTACTATAGCAAAGCCTGTTATATTTTTAAGACTATTTAATTTTGTGCAGTTACATTTAAATTTTCAACAATAAAAAATAAGTTCATTTAATTTTTTACAAAAAAAATTTATGCCTGACATCTAGTAATATTTTATACAAGTAAATAGCTAATTCTTGTCTTTGCTAACTCAATAAACAATTCAATAAATTCCTATTTTATTAACAATTCACAATAGATTTCATGATTCACTTTTAAAAAAAACTCTCAAAAACCCTACAAACATGTTAAAAATATTAATTATTTTGTTTTCAAAAATATAAAACAACTTTTCCAATGTACAATGATGTTTTGCCAAATTTGGCATGATTACATAAAAGCAGTGCACTTCAAATCCTAAAAATTAAAAGCGAATTTTGATCATGCGGCAACTTTTTTGAGCGTTCGTTTTGCATTTCGCTTTAAATGAGACATTGTGATCTTTAAGGCATGTACGATATCAGATATGCTCTAAAAATTCTAAATTCCATTAAGTTTATTCCTCTTACTGTGTTCTTACTGTTCGAAAGTCTGAAAAAAATTATTTTTACACTACGAATAATCTATTTTTACACGTGAGGGTGGCGACATAGAGATCAAGCGAGATCACAACGGCCTATCTGGCCTAAGTGTTTCTTCTAATATCCGCGTCAATCTAACCTAACCTAACACTATTGAAGAAATCTTTTAATTATTAAAATAAATAATATTCACAAACGTATGGTGGAAAAAATTAATTTTTTTTTTTAAATGGGAATAAAAATTTGGAAGTATACACATTTTCCTTTTCCCAAAAATTTAGTTGTATTTGCCATATCATATTTGTTTCGATTATTTTTTTTATATAATAACAGTCGTTTTTATATTTCATAATTCTTAATTCATAAATTACACTAATCCAAAAAAAGAAAATCCCAATATTTTCTTTGTGCACCATTTATACAGGAAAAAAAAACAACACTTGGAATTAAATGCCAATTTGAATTTGACAATACTTGGAACAAAGAAAGAATTTACTTGAATTTTTGGCTTTACTGTGTTTCTTTTTAAGAGTGAAGTGGTATAGAAACAAAGATGTTCCTTCTTTTAATATTTAAAATTCGTTATTCCGACTTATCTCAATGGAAACTGAGATCCAAAAATAAATTAGTTTAAAAAAAAACAATTTTTGATAATAAGGTTTATTTTTCTTCCCGAACGCTGAAAGTATTATGTACATACTTAGTTTCAAAGAGACGCTCAATACACATATATATTTTATTTCTGAATAAGTGTTTCCAGTAAAATATTTTTTAACAGAAAACTTAAAGCTTTAAAGTCAAAAAAGTAAAAATCAATGAGAAAACAAAAAATGCTATTCTAAATGAGCCTCACAGTTTAGGTACGTAGTAGCAAACATTAATTAGATTGCATTATAACCGCGCCAAAATTTCAAACTGCTAAAATAAATAAATACGTAACAAATAAATCAAATATTATTTTTCAAGTATTTATCTGGCAATGTTGATTTCTCAAAAAATATATTTTACTCTTTCTTTCTTGTAAGTGTTTATATACTTTTGACAGCTTGTTTCGGGTAGAATTAATAAATTAAATACTCTTTCTTTATTTAGTAACTCTACAAGAAAGAAACAACAAATCTATATTTAGTGGTTGGATTTTTTGATTTGCGCGTTCTTTTTGTTAATGTGGAAAAATTTTTTTCAAGAAGTTTATTATTTTGGTTGCGCTAAATTTACTTGTATATAGGAAAAACAATTAATCTTTGTGAATTTCAATTACATAAAAATGAATAATTATTTTAAAAAAAACATAAAAGAATAAAAGATAAGAAGTTGAATATATGCTAAAGATAATTTTGATTCCGGTTTTCTAACCTAGAAATTAGATTAATTTAAAAAAAAATTATAAACTTATTATTTTCAAAAATACTAATAATGGAAGTTGAGGAGAATGGTTGTGATGTTTCCGCGGAAAATGAAAAAATGAAACTTATTTTTACATCAGATGAAAATACACACGAATCTGTTGATACTACAGAAGAAATTATAGAAGAACATTCAACTCAACCTGAAATGCCTAAAATGGAAGAAGTTATTATAAAAGTAGCCAAAAATATAAAAGCGAAAAACGATATTGAGGACGATATCAGGATGATATGCGGAAGTGAGGAGTTAAATAGATCGTCACAGGATAAAGAAGAAACTGTAGACAATAACATTTTAGAAACGCTTCAAGAGCAGGCAGAAAATGTAAATGAAGAAATTGCTGACGAAATTATGGAAGAAGACAATTGTGAACAAGTAAATTTGAAACGATCGCATTCAAGAGCTTCTTCAGAGCAGAATAACGAAAATGAAGAAGAGCAGGATTTATTTGGATTTTATGAAGGCAAATTTGTATTCGGGAAAAAAATTAAAGTAAACTCAAGCGAAGTTGACAGTGAAATAATTGGACCCAAATTTAAAAGGTTGGTAAGTAACACAGAACGAATTTTAGAAGAAATGGACACAGTCCAAAAAAATATTGGAGAACACAATGGCAAACTGGATCAAAACGGTTCAGAAGTTTCACAAAATGCAACAGACACGAAAACAAATGTCACTACTCTAATTAATGAAAATGAAGAACCTAAAAGTTCTCCTTCAGTATCAGCCACAGCATCACCAATTCAAACACCATCTCACACAAGTCATAAATTACGTCCTTCGGAAGATCCAATTTTTAGAAAACCTTTTGAAATGGGATGGAAGCGTGAAATTGTATTAAGGGCGTTACCGGGCTCGAAAGATAAAGGTGAAGTATATTATATTACGCCCAGTGGGAAAAAATTACGTACCCGTCACGAAATTCAAGTAAATTTGACGTCTGGCCTTACATTAGACAATTTCACATTTAGTAAAGATGCACTTGGGGCAGATCCGGAAGATGAAATTATTAGAAGTGCGAAACCTTCAGGTCGTAATATTGAAACTTCAACAGCTAAAATTTCTGAAATTTCCACGCCTGCATCTACAAAACGTATTCCAAAACCGAAAGCACCTAAAGGTGCTAGTCCGCCACCACAAGGTTGGACACCAACACAAGCAGTTAAAACACAAGGTTCACGGTCTCACGTTAGATATCCCACTACAAACACTGACGATCATCATTCGAAATCAATGAGAACCAGTAGTACAAGTAGTGAAAATATCGGTAGTAATATTAAGTCGGGAAATTCTAGCAAAAAGTAAGTATTCATATTAACTAAGGTCTAGCAATATTTTCGGTTACTCATTTTATTAGGTAAACTCACTCTTAGTTTATTGTATAACTAAATCTTGTTTTAATTTAATCTTTTTTATTTTGATGAAATAAATTGTTATCATAAAACAATGGCTAAATTCTAAAACACCTTTCTGATATTTTTTGTTTGCTGAAACATGAACTAAATGAAATGTTATTAATGCGAAGTGTCATGTTTTTTGATAAATACTCAATTTCTTTCACTTTGATTGGGTCATAAGAACGATTGCTCATAATTCAAAAACAAAATCATTTGTGGGTGCTATATAACAATTAATTTTTGATTGCAGGGGCGAACCTTGTACTATTCAATGTGTCCTTGCAATGGGATTAATTCCACAATTACAGTGTGTGAAATGTTTATGTTCATTTCATCATGAATGCGTTGGTTTGGACCGCAATGTTGATGACTTTCAATCGAGTAATACGAATGAAAGTGGTTCCAAAGGAAAGAAAATTTATGAATGTGATGTGAGTTTCAATATTTTTATATGCTGCAAATAAAATAGCCCATTCAATTTTTATATGTATTTTAGTCATGCAAGGCTCAGAATATTTCAAAAACTGATTTGAATCCAATATATGACACAGAATGTTTAACAAATAACCCAAAAAATTTAAATTATAATATGAATCAATTACAAAATAACAATGACATCAATGAAATTAGTGGTTCGGTAAATCCTTTAACTAATTTTTCAAATTCTCAATGCAATCTAGATAAAAGTGAAAGTAATCAAAAATGTTTACAAGAAAAAGAAATTTTATGTAATAAATCATTTACAAAAAATTCGAACACGATTAGTAATAAAAATAACATTTCAAATGAAGGTTCAAAAAATTGTCATTCAACTGCAATTGTTATTTCATCAAAACATGTACAATCAATTGCAGTCCTCAATGGACGCAAATATTTGGTTATACATAAACCGGGAATTCGAACATCAAATGAGTGAGTAACGCTTGTGGTATTGCATCAAATTACTTCGTATTGAAAATTCATTCCTTTTTACTTTTATAAACCAATATTTATACTTATTTGACAAAAATTTTTTTTGTAGACACGTTGAAGTATCGACATCCACTGGGAGTAACAAATCTTCTCCAGTTAAAATTCAATATGTAGATTCATATGTTCACAATTTATTTGGAAATGTTTCTGGGGCTTATGATATTATATTAAACGTATTCAAATATCTTAAAGTACAGGTAATTTCAGGTTATCATAATGATAATATTAGTTTGAGTACAACAAATTCTTTACGGAAGTTATATAAATTAAAAAAAAAACATATAATTTAATAATAATTTTTGTAGGAGCTTTTGCGAGCAGCTCGCGTTTCACGTTTATGGAACCATTTGGCAAATGAACGTTCATTATGGAAAATTGTTAGGATGAAAAATTCTCAAGTTAATGACTGGGCTGGTTTTGCTGCCACATTAAGTCGAAATTCAACACAACATTTAGATTTAAGGAAAATGATATGCCCAAAAAGCGGTGTTGATAAAATGTGGACAAATTTTAATGAAAACATTCAAAAAGTTTTTACACTCAGAACAATTGACTTAGGAAGATGTCCTGCAAGCGTTGTTCAAAATTTATTTTTGGCAACACCTCAATTAAACATTTTAAATGCGACATCCATTAAAAGTGAAACAATTAATTTGGAAAATTTAAATAAGTTATCGAATTTGACTGAATTACGTTTAAAGTCAGTAGAATGTTGTAATTTAATAGGCGATCTTTCATCATTTGCATTCCTAACAAATTTAAAACATCTAAGTTTAACATTAATTGACGATTTGGGTACAAAGAATATAGAAATTTTAGGACAACTCACAGAGCTTGAATCATTAGAGATTGGTGAGTGCTCGAGCATTCAGCAAAATTTTGCTAGTGATATTTTGAGCAATTTGAAGAAATTACAACGATTACGTTTAGAAAAAAGTACAGACATTACTGTAACTTTTTCAATATTAGAACAAATTTCTGAGATGGAAAATTTACAACAACTGGAATTGGTTAATTTTGATATTAGAGATGGTTTCGAACAAAAGATAATAGCATGTAAAAATTTAAAACGTTTTCTCTTAATACCTACTTACGTTTCGCAATCAGCCACAACAAATCAAATTATTTTAAGTTCAATGCGTAAATTAAAAACATTAGAATCATTTACTTGGGTTGTCACATTGGAATTACTTTCAGTAACGGCGTTATATGTTGATCAATGCGGCTCTAAAGATCGTCGTAATTTTAATGATTCTATACCTGTTTTAAAACCAGTGCCAGGTGCATCACATAGAGAGAAACAAGAAATATCTAGCAAAACAACAAATGCTGATATACAACAAATTGAAATTTTACCATTATCAACAATAAAAGAAATTTTAGATGATGGAACGCCGAATACAAAACATAAAATTGTGCGAGTTCCTTATGCTACAACATGGAGACAAGCATTTGTTGAATAAAAATTAATGAAGAAAAAAAAAACAATATAATAAGACTAGTTAAATGTAAATATTTTTCTTTTTTTATTGTTTTACAAACTATATTATAAGTTATGATATTATATATGTAGGTTAAAATGTTTGTCACATTTTTTTATAATTTGCAGGAAATTTTTGATTTTTCAAAATATGTTTATGAAGATGACAATGAAAATATTTAAACAAATTTTAGTTTTTGATAAAAAATACTTTTAAAGAGGAAATAAACTTCTCTAGCCTCATTAAAATTCAATCGATTAAAAAAGCAGCTATAGAAATACAACTTGAATTGTGCACAAAAAGATCAAAAATCGTAATGCTGAAAATAAAATAAAATGAAATATCAGTTTAAATGGGACTAATTTTTTGGGGAGCAACACACTAAAATTGCGTCACTTAGCAATGAAAATTTGGTATTTTTTAAATCATTCTTTTTGAAATAATTCCATATGCTCAAAATATGATTATTGAATTTTACACCATTTGTTTAAAACTACACTGACAACCGATAGATAAAAGTGTTTTTTCTACACAAGAAATAATTTATCGTAATTAGCAATTCTAAATTTTATTACACTAATTATTAAAAGTATGTTAAATGATTTTTATATGAAAGAACATTTGTTTCAACAATATTACATCTAGAAATAATTTGTTTTAGTATTTAGAAATTTAATCCATATTATATATACATATGTAATATATAATGAATTAGAAATAACTTTTATTGATGTAAAAGAAATTAAAAACAAATGCATATATTTTTATTAAAAAAAAAATAAAACCTGTGGAATTCTTTTAGTTAATAATGTAACTGTAGAATTTAAAATACATAATAATAAAATTTACTTAAATAAATATTTGTTTTTCAATAAAATATTAAAGAAATTAAAATATACTATATCATGCTGAGTCGGTTTGACTGTGACTTCTCATTGCAACATTATTGCACTCGTTGATATCTAATAGGCTGAATTAATGGTCCTGTTGGTGTAAAACTTGAAAAAACTTTAAAAAGAGAAACAGTGAAGTAATATCTCGTAAAAAGAAAAAAATTCTCTTATAACAAAAAAAAAAAATAAAGCAGACGAAAAAATTGAAAAAACTTTATAAAAAGTTGATAAACGTCAAATTTCAAGAATTTATCAAACATAAACAAATATTTTTTGATTATACCAAAAATCAGGAAATTTTGATTTTGTATTATAAAAGTGGGAAATTTAGTAAAAAATATTTATGAATATATTTGGTTTATTTTTAATTAAAATGTTAATTGTTGATGAAAAATATTTTTTTGATAAAAGATAAAACCTTCAAGAAATATCCAAGAATAAGAAACTTTAAACATTGAGAAAATGATAACGTCATGATTTTCTCTCATTTTTGTTCAAAAAGTATTATACCACACGATTTGCATACAAAAACTTTATTAAGTTTTTTTCAATTTTTATAAAGTTTTTAAAAAATTTCTTATATCAAATTTAATATCTAAAGGGCTTAATAGTGCTTTCGTGGGAAATAACTGTCCACGTTGACGAACGGCCTCTTCCCACAAAAACTCAATTAAACTCAAACGGGATAAGTGATGTTTTTGTAGAAAGTGAATATCGTTTTACGAGTACAAAATGAACACTGCTGCGATGGTGCATGTTTAAAATTTTTCAAACAAATATAATAATTTCATTATCCTGGCATCACTATTTCTGATTTGACATTTTTAATTGTAGCTAAGTTCAATTTGTATACGAAATTTTCATTCTTTAGAAAAGGATCAACTGATTATTGGATTTTAAAAACTTTAAATATGTTAAAAAGAGATAAAAGTATAAAACTTTTTAGAACTTGGCTGCCAAAAAAGTTTTTAGACCATTTCAAAAAATAAAACATGGCTGGAAGAGCTGGTTTTGATCACGCTAGGTAAATATTAATAAAATTTCAATAAACTAACCCATTATATTGAGGCAAATTATGCCGAATTTTATTATTTAAATAGTAAAATTTTGATTTTCACATAAAATTACTCCATTTGATATGTATTTATAACATTTTAATTGAATAAATTTTGTCGGGGAAAATTGAAAACGTGTTGGCAGAATGTTTTAGCAGTACTAATCAATTTTTATTTTATATAAGGTGTTAAGAATAAAAACCACTCAAAAGATAATAATAAATAATATCACTTGAATTATTATTATAGATTCAATTATTTACTTTAAAATTCTAAACATTATATCATTTAATAAATTTTTATAAATTTTTGTTATCAATGAATTTTTCTGATTGATATTATGTATAGTAAGTCAGTTGTGTTATGGCGGCTAATGTTAAAAGTGAAATTTGCAATATTATAAAAATTTTTTTGTAAATATTAAATAATGCCGTCTAAAGCATCAAGAAGGTGATAGAATCATAAAATTTTAGTGAAACCAAAAATAAATTTCTGTTTAATATTGGAATTTAATTAATATTATTTTATATTTAATATTATTTTTATATAAATTTTAGATTTGTGGACCGTCCCACAAAAAAGCTCCCGACGGAGCCACCATTTATTGCTTATGTTGGTAATTTGCCGCAGGGTTTAGTTCAAGGTGATATTATAAAAATATTTTCAACATTAAAGGTAAAAAATGTACGCCTTGTAAAGGATAAAGAAACTGATTTATTCAAAGGGTTTTGCTATGTTGAATTTGAAAGTTTAGAAGATTTGGAAAAAGCAATTGACATGGATGGTAGAATTCATGTTGATCAAAATAACGCGGCTTTAAGGATTGATATTGCTGAGCAAAGAAAAAATGATCGAAGTGGTTTTCAAAAACGTGGACCACCAAGACAAGGAGGTGGAGGAGGCGGCGGCGGTGGTGGTGGAGGTAGTGGTGGTGGTAATAATAGCGGTGGTGGTGGAAATAGTAATTTTCAACATAATCGTAGTGGTGGTAATCGAAATGATAACCGAGCCGGAAGTTTCGATAATTTTGTCAGAAATGATAGAAGTCGCCAAGATGGTCAAGGTGGAAATAGAGGATTTAATAATGGTAATTAAAAATGAATGCTATAAGCTTAAATTTGTAATGTCAATATAAAATGATGAAAAATAATGTTAACCAGTCTACTTTCGAGCTATTTCAATTAAAAATAGCAATATTACTTAGAATATCTATTATATCACATCTCATAAAGATTTATGCCATACATCGTCAATAACAAAAAAGAGAAAAGAAATATAAATGTATGTTTGCATGTATTTGGCAAATAGCCAAATTTTAATAAAAATATGAAAGTATCTACCTTGTTCTTTGAACAGTAAATAAAATTCTTCAAACTTTCTTATATAAAATTTCAAATAAAAACAAAATATAATGAAGCGAATTTGCAACAAATTTTTGTTTTTTTAACATTTTTATATTTTTAAATAAAAATTTTCGTTTTGTTGATACATACATTATAAGAACCTATGTACGTATGTTACATATATTAATAAGAGTACATATGAGCATAAATATTTTTGTTTATTTATAAATAGGTATACCTACATAAACAGAAATAAAACTTGGAAAATTTTAAAAGATATTCACATTAAGGCACATAATATTCCGTTTTTCTTAATAGGAAAATTCATGTAATTTCAAACTTATTTTAGGTTATCATTAGCACATTTTAATTCATAATTTAAACAAAAATAAAATTTTTTTAATTTTGTTTAATTACGTTATTTTAATTTTGTTTAATTTTTTTTTATATGTATGTATGTATGTTGTCAAAATAATAATGTTTTTTTATTCATATACATAATATAGATCGGAACCCAAATCGTCCAAGATATGGCAACTTTGGAAATGATGATCGCAATATGGAACGAAGTGGTGGAGGTGGTGGAGGTGGTGGAGGCGGCGGCGGTGGAGGCAATCGTGCTGATAACTTTGGAGGTGGAAATCAACATTATAACGAGCGGTTTAATAGTTTTAATCGACGCGGTCACGATAGGGATAGGCGGGACCAACATCCTCCTCAAAGACCGCCAAGCGAAAGTTTTAATAGTATAGGTAGTAAAGGTAAGAAAAACAAATTTTTTATATTCATAAAATTTTGAATTATAGCTATCTGAAATTATTATTGTTCTATCTTATCTGAATTTAAAAAGAATAGCAATTATATTAAAATTAGATCAGTTATCAAAACACTTTCAATGTATGTACTATATGTGCGTGTATATTAAAAACACGTCCATATATGTTTTTGAAAGGTGGTTGATTTGGAGAATCAATTGTGTGGTAATCTATTTACTTTTTCTTTTTAATTGGAATATTGCTAACGTAATTTAATGAATAACATAATTTTTTAAATAAATTCAAAAGATCCACTTCAAGTTTCTTTATTTTGAAAATATTTTAATATCATTTAGAAAATTAAGCCAACTTCACATTTATATTAATAGCTACATATATAAATTAATAATTTTAACTTATACTTTTAAGTAAATTGATTCTTGAATATTTTTCAAGATTTTATTAAAATGTTAATGTGAATCCTAAAATTCTGTAAACTAAAGTTGTCCATTTAAAACAAATTAAATTTACTTAATGCATCTAAATTAAATTTTTTTTTTTTTTATTTATTTTTTAAATTTTTTTTTTTATTTTTACGTTATTTTTACGTTATTTTGAATTAATTTATTAATATATTATATATGTACATCTTTGCATTTCTAATTTTTTTTTTTATTATTTTAGATGACAGTGAACGCCCGCGTTTAAAATTACAACCCCGTACAGTTACTGAACCGGTAAATGCTCTAGCTGACACTCAACAAGCTAAATTGATATTTTGCAAAGCCAGGCCGCGTGAGGAGAAGTTAAAAGAAATTGAATCGAACAAATCTTAAAAAGTGTTGTTGCAAAAGAAAGAAAATAAAAAATAAAAACTAAAAAGAAAGCGAAAAAAATTTAAAAAAAGAGCAAAAGGTATATACATATATACAATTTAAAATAAAAAAGAGAATTGCAAAAATAATATTACAAAAATAATAGCAAGATTAATACGCGAGAAAATAAAAAGAAAAAAACAAAGTAATACTAAAAATATTAAATACAAAGTTCTTTACAAAATAAGCAAAAAAAAAATGCAAAATTAATAAAAAAAGGATATATCAATACAAAAATTATTTAATTATAAACTAAAAACAAAAAAAAAACAATATTCATACATATTAATACCCGAACATTTTTATTAAAACAAGGAAAAAGCAAAATTAAGCAAAAAAATTAACAAATAAATAAAAAAAAGAATAAAAAGAGTAAAAATCAACTTTAAGTGTTTATTTGTAATAATATTATAATAATAAATTATTTTCTCAATAAATTTTTTTAAATAATTTAAACAAAATTATAAACAAAAATAATATTAAAAATTTTAAATAAAAATTTCCCTCTAAAACAAAAATATAATTTAAATTTCATTTCAGATAATTATCAAATAATAATTACAATAATAAAAATTTATGTATATTTTATATATATATAAAAAAAAATTTAAACTGTAAACTTTTTCAAATAAAACACTATTAATATTATTAATATAAACCTTTTTATTAAAAAAAGAAAAAAAAAAAATATAAAGAAAATTCAATATAATTTGTACACAAAATTTTTAATAGCATCATTTGTTATTGTAAAAAAAAAAGAAACAAACGAAAAAAAATCAAATTTTAATTTAACAAAATTAATATATTAATTAAAAAAACAAAATAATAAAAAAACAGAAAACTATTTTTTTTACTTTCTATAACAAATTATTCTTTATTTATTGAAAAGGTGTTTTTTTTTTAATAATTTTTTTGTTATTTGGTTAAATAATCGGTTTAAGCTGAGTTTTTCTTAAATTTATTCAATTAAAATAATTGAATAAATAAAATAAAATAAAATTCAATAAAAAAACACAACATTTACGTTTTTTTTTTTGTTTCTTATTTATTAGTTGATATTCATTTGTTTCAATTTTTCCAAAAAGTATATAAGAAATATTCCATAACATAGTTACAGTCACTTTATTATTATAGTAATTATTAATAATGGTAATTATATTAATAATTATAATAAATAATTAAAATAAAAATTTTTATTGTATATAAAAAAACTCATAAATTTCTTATTTGTTTTCCTCTATTTTTTTTTTTTGTAATAAAAATTCGTACTATTAAACTCTTAAATAAATTTATTCAAATTTAAAATTATTAAATTTCATTTCATCAAAATTTTTTTCGGATTATTCTTTTTTGTTTAAATTTAATGACTTCGATTATTTTTAAATTTTTTTATTAAATAATAGTTTTTCGTGAATAATATTTTGATATATATAACCATGATTTTTTTTTAAATAAGAAAGAAATTTATTATTATAGAAAAAAAAAATAAATTTTTTTGCTATTTGTTTTAATTTAGAAAACTTAAAAAAAACTGAATTAAAATTCTAATAAAAATCTAATAAAAACAAAATAACCAATCATAAAATTTTCCTTATTATTTTATTATTTAAAAACAAAAAGAAGCAATTTACAAAATTTTGCATATAAAAAAATTAAAACAAAAATTATATAAATATATTCTGGTATATAAATACATACAAAATAAACATACATATATACCTATGTATAATATAATACCACACATAAAAAAAAAGGCATCTGTTTCAACACACTATTTTTTTTTCCTTGAATTTAAAATGTAAAATACAAAAAAATAATACAAAAAGATACATAAAAATTTTTGTGTTTAAAAATTAATTATTATGTTTTAAGAGCTTGCTACATACATATATTATTATAAATTTGCATTATTTTGTTGTATTAAATTAAATTAAATAATTATTTGAGAAATTGCAGAAAAATTAAATAAAAACTAATTAAATAAAACTATCATAATTTATACAACCTTATTATATATATATATATATATATACATATATAATAGGTTGATATTACAAATATAAATTTTATATAAAATTTTATATAAATAATAATAAATACAATTTACATACATATTAAAGCAATTAAGAAAATAATTTTTTTTTTTTTAGTTTTTAATCTATGCTTTTTTTATTAATTATAATACTAATTATTAATTAATTTTGTAACCGATTCATAAGATATACAAGAAAAATAAAAAATACATATATATATATATATATATATATATATATAATTATATAAATATATATATCGTAATTTCAAAAATAAATTGTTTACATTTTTTGTTTATTTTTTTTTAATATTTCTTTATTGAAATTAAATTATAATAGTTTTTTTTTTGCAAAAATTTTTTCTAAAAATTTTTTAGATTTTAAGTGTTAACGGGGACCTTAGGTTTACTTTTTATATTTTTTTTCATTTTCTTTTTTCTTTTCTCTTAAATAACTAATATTAATTTCGTATCTGGAAAATTGGATGAATCAAATTTTTTTTTTTTGTTTTCTTTGCATCTTAATGATTTTGATTTTTATTAATTTATATAATTAAATCTATAATTTTGGATATTGAATAAAAAACGAAAACTTTCAGTAAAAAAGAAAATAAACTTAAATTTAAATTACTATACTTATTACTTAGATTATGTAATTAAATGAAAAATAATTAATATTCTTTGATATTAAGAGAAGAAATTAAAATTGTAAATCTAGAAGAAATTAAAAAAAAAATATGAAATGTGTGTATGTATTTATCAAAAAAAAAGATCATATTAAGGATATTTAAAATAACATAAAAAATAATTTTTTTTATAAAATTAAGTTTATTTCTTACACCTTCTATATATGTAGTATATGTACGAATGTATGTATATATTAATATATTAAATTAGTAAATAAACAAATATTTTATATTATAAATATTAAGTAGCATATAATTCTAATATTCTTAAATTTTTTTTTGTTTATTTTAAGATAATGTATAAAAAAAATAATAAAAAAGTAAAAATCATGTGTTTTTTTTTTCCTTGCATCATTATACATTTGTTTTTTTATAAATGTATAAATTAATAATTTATTTATACATAATAACTATAAATAAGAGAAGAAATCCTATGATAAATAAAAGAAAAAGAAATAAGTAAAACATAAAAAAAAAGTACTCTTTCATTTGTTTGGCTTTTTTTTTTGTTAATATTCCAAGACAAGTAGGAAGGTTTTCTATAATCCAGATGCGTTACACTTAACTTATTTTTTTTTTTTTGCATAATTTCAGATTTAAGAAAATTAAATGAAGAATATGAGTGTTAATTTAATAAAATTTTATGGTAAATTCTTATTTGTACCCGTTAAAATTTATATTTCCTTTTTTTTTTTATTAAATTCATAATTTTATAAATATTGGTGAATTTAAAAATTCATTATGTTTTTTTTTGGTCGGTTCCATTCTTTAGTTTATATACATACACTCGGTTAAAATATGAAATTCATTCAGCAGCATTTATCACGAGAATCGTGATTTAAGAATTTATGAGTTCCTAAAATTTGGGAAACAATTAGTTCGGCAAAAATAATTCAATGAAAGCAAGTTTAAGGAAAAATGAAATTGAAAATTTTACTTTCAAATCTATGTAATAAAATTTTTACGAATTTTAGTTCAACAATCTAACTGTATATTAATATCTACAGGTTATAAATTTTTTTATAATTGAAAATTTTTATTCAATTGTATATTTCAATTAGTCTATATAATTTTTAATGTGTTAGTAATAAAATAATTGATTTATTAAAATCATTATTTAAATTTTAAAAAATGTAATTATAAAGAAAATGCAAATTCAATCAATTGCAATAATTTAAATCTAAATAAAAGAATAATAAGAAAAAAAAACAAGAAGTATTTCTAAGGTCCCCAATAATAAAACTTAAAGCAAATTATTTATAAATATATATTTATATTTCGCATATTTTAATAAATTTTTAATATTGTTTTGTTTATAATCTATACATACATTAACTAAAAAAAAAAAAAACAGAAAAAAAAACAACTATGTATATTTGAATAATTAGATAAAAGATTAAAAAATTATTTTATTTGAATAAATTTCGAATTTAAAATAATTGTATTATTTGTATAAAATATATATTCAATTAAAAATTAATCAAGAATTAGATAATTATGTAACTAAAAATAATAAATTCATTTTTTTTTTTATAAGTTCATTTAATTTTTTCCTTGTCTTCAATTTAATATTAAAAAACAAAAAAAAAAAAACAGAAATTTTTAATAGAAAGCTAAAATCTAACAGACTGTATTTAAATATTAAAATAATATTAAAAAATATATGCAGTAAAACTAAGTTAAATTAGCATTAAATAAAGAAAGAAAAAAAAAATATGAAAACCCAAAAAAAAAAAATAATAAATATATATATATATATAAAAATAAAAAAAACTTGAGAAAAAAAAATTTCGATTATAAAATTCTTTAAATTTATGATTTCACTGATTTTTTTTTCTGCTTACAACTTATATTATTTAAATTATTTATTTTAAAAATTGTTTGGATCATTGTATAATAATGAATAAATAAGATCCATATATTTTCTTAAAATATTTTTAACATTTAAATTTTATAATTTTAATTATTTATCAACATAATTTTATAATATAGAAATTTAATTTCAGAATTTTATCTACTTTTTTTTCTATTTAAAAATAAATCCAAAAATATTTAATTAAAATTTCAGTTATTTTAATTAATATTGATTTTGTTATTTTTATTTTATATTGTTCATTTATTTTGTTTTGGTTTTAGAAATGTTTTATAAAAACATTGAGTTGATTAATTAAATTCCGAAAAAATAAAATAAATAGTTGTGCATATTTTTTTTTTAGATTAAAGCTCCTTTTCTTGGCTTCTTTTTATTAAATTTAAAAATATTTAAAAATATATTTCAATATTTAAAATTATA